CCTGCCCCACCCCCCACCTGCCTTAGTTTCCCTGTCTGAAGGATAGAGACCCAGTCTCCTCGACTGGGAAGTATGGGGTTTCTGCAGGGCAGAGCGCAGTGCACTGTACAGTATTGGATGGGGGGTGTTGAGGGGGCTTTGGCATCGATGATCTCGGGGGGATCTTTGCTTCCCCAGGAAGAATGGAAGACACAAGAATTTCCTGTGTTTTCAATGGCTCATCACCAGCTACAGTGGAAACATTCCCCCAACATAGGTAGCACTGATCTTTGCTTTGTGCTTTGGTCAGTGATCCCCTCCACTTTGCCTTTGGAGACAGTGTGGGGTTTAGAGTTGGGCCAACCTGTGTGTGTATTCATCTCAGCTCTGCCGTGAACTGGGACTTGGCTAAGTCACTGTCTCTTTGAGCCTCTCTTTCTTCATCTATAGAGTGAGGTCATAATAGGACCTTCCTCAACGGTTTTTGTAAGGTGTCGATGAGAGAGCATATATAATGCAGCTGGCCTGGTGCCTGGACCCAACAAATGGAAGCTCTCTCTGTGATGAAGGGGAGGAATTTTCCAGATCCTTTAGAACCCAGTGCCTATTAAAGAGGGGAGAGGGAGGGAGGCACTTGTCCTAAAGGGGGCCTGAGAGTAGCTACTGTTCTGAGAGTTCTGGGTTCCCGGCATCTACCCTTTCTTGGAGGGCCCTTGGTGCTCTAGTCTGGGAAAAGCTGAGCGCCACTGTGTTCAGTCCCATTTCCAGCCTCTTCCCCAGGGTCTCTGGCTGGTGAACCTCACTGCCATTGAACTACGAGAAGGCCTGTCACCTCTGAGGGTCCACTCAGGGAAGGCCCTGGACTCTGCCTGCGAGGGGTGCTCCCAGACAACCTTCCCCAAATCACTTTATCAGATGTGTCTTGATAGCAGGTAGCTAGACCCCATAGGTCCCCACTTGGCTGAGACCATGGCCGAGTACCTGTGTGAGAACCGTATATCTGCGTCTGAACGATTTAATCCTTGCCGCCTCCCTGTCGGGTAAGCATTAGACTCCTTAACATCTCTGTTTTACAGATTGAGGGGTCTGCAGTTCAGAGACAGGCAGGGTGACTTGTTTCCCTAAAGGCCCATGGCCAGCCTAGACCCGGAGCTGGAACCCTGGTCTCGTGACTCCCAGTCCAGAACTTTTTCCAGAGCTGCGTGGGATACGCGACAGTCAAACAAATGCATGAAAGGAGGGGGCAGAATCCTGTCCCTCCTCTTGCCCTAGAATCCTCAGAGAATGATGGAGACAAAAGGATTGTGATCCTACATGTTTTTCGGCCCATGTATTTTAGGCTGCTGTCCTTGGGGAGGGGGAATTAGGGAGGATTGAAGTTAGCCCTTCCCCAGTGGGAAACTAGGGACAGGGCGGCTGCCCAGGGCTTCACTTCTCCTGGCAAAGTCCCACCAGCAGTAGGGAGAGGGGAGCCCAGGACAGAGAAAAGCCTCTGCTCTGTCTGGCTCTCTGGCACCCCATGCAGGGCCTGGCACAACCAAACAGTTGATTGGTTGAATGAATGAATGAGTGAATGAATGAATTCTGCTTGTGAGTCTTGAGTTTATAAGAACAAGGGGAAGATTTGCAAGGGAAGATCCAGAGGACCCTTGGGGCAGGAAAGCAGGGTGATATAGTGGCAGAGCTGGGGCTCAGAAGCCAGACAGACCTAAGTTCAAATCCTGAGTTCAAAGCCACATCCTTGCTGTGTCTTTGGGCTTGTGACTTCACCTCTGAAGCTCATTTCTTTGCCTGTAAAGTGGGAATACAATGCATCCTGGGTTGTGAGGATGCATTAAATGTGATAGAGTGTTGTATCTGAGCCTTTTAAGCCCTTTGAGAACAGGGAGGGTCTCTGTGTGAAGGAATGAAAAGAATTAACTAATTCAAGAAAATTCTATGGATGCACTGTGCTAGATGCTGAGATGAAAGAAATGGCGAGGAAAAATCCATGGCCCCTGCCCTTATGGAGCTTAGGGTCCGGTGAGAGAAATAGACATTCATTGGCTAGTCATCCAGCAAACTTAAATTTGTAGCTGTGGAAAATGTGGGGGCTTTGGTAGCTCACGATAGGGGGAGGGTCTCACCTGGGCAGGGAGCTCAGAGAAGGCCTCCGAGGAGTTAAAGGATGAGTGAGAGGCAGCTAAGTAAATAGCTGAGGGAGGAGCCTCTGATGGGAAGACTGACAGGGATAAGGGGCTGAAAAGAACAACACAGGGATCTCAGAACCTGACATCACGGAACACTCTCCGTTCCGTCTTCCCCCACATCCCGGGCCTCTCCCCACCTCATGGGCCTGCCTGAGAGGCCCACTCATCCTGCCGGGTGCAGAGGGGAGCCTCTGGGAATTGCACTTTTAGCAAACAGCCTGTGGTTCCTGAAGTGTGAACAGGATTTTTCGGGACATCTGGTCCCCAAGCAGGGCTGGCATCTCAGAGTTCCCTTTGGCAGCCCTCTGGGTAGGGTGGAGTGTGAAGAGCTTAGCGGGAGGCCCCCTCCCATCTCTGACAGGGGACTCCATCTTCCCTGTACCTGAATTTCCTGGCTTGCCTGCTCCAGAATCCAGGAAGGTGAATGGAGTCGGTGCTTTTCCACTTGGCCTCTTGTCTGTTCCACAGCCCGCTCTGTCTCCCTACCTCCACCTCTCCCTGCTCCTGGTTGTGGCAGATTTGCACCCTGCTATGTCTCTTACCACCCCCACTCCACCCTCGCCCTGCCCCCTGTCCCTCTTGATTCTCTCTTTTAGGCCGTGTGCTTCTCTGCCCCTTGATCTCTCCCTCAGCTCATGTCTCCTTGTATGAAATGCTGGCGCTGCCACCCACTCAGATCTTTAGCGAGTTGGATGGCCACTCTGCCTCTCAGTTTCTCCATTTGTAAAATGTGGGTCCTAGTGCCTGCCTCCTAGGCACCTTTGTCCTAAAGATAAGGTGATGTTGATAAAGCATGTGTTTCCCTTCCCATCCCAGGCGACTTTGGCACAGAGCTGGGAGGGGAGGTTGGGCCAGGCAGCAGGGGCTGGGGCAGATTGCATGGTCTGGTTGTC